TCACAGCAGAGAATCCATTAGAAAATTTATGATATGTGCAGCAAAGACCCTATTGTACATACTGCATATCCCGATGAGCTGCTTTAGTTTGTGAGGGGGCTGTTGTATATTCCTATCTCCTCCTCCCATTACTGAACCCTGAGAAGTTTGTTATAAAGCTTTCAGTAGGTTTTCTGCAGATGAAATCTCATATTTAGACTGATTTGGATGTCTCCTCTGATGTAGAATCAACTATGGGGGAATTCCTCTTGATTAGCTGGACTGGATGGATTTCAAGTTGTTATTTTGAAGGATGTGGACATGTTCCTTGGAGTGTATGATCCACCACTTGTCCTCTGGATCCTTGGCCAACTTGGCTTGTAACTTCTAGCTGTAAGTCTATAGGAAATGCCTTAGTTAACAGCTTAAATACCTTTCTAAGGCAGGGCTGGCGGCCTCCTGGTTCAGAGGTAGCAATTATTAGAGCTCTTCTTAAGATGCCTGTCCTGGGTCCCATAAATGAGCAATTATAGGCTAGTTTCTAATTTTCCAAGGTTGGGTAATGTGATTGAGAGTGATGGCTTCTCAACTGTGGAAAAAGCAAATTATCTGGACCTATTTTAACCTGGCTTCAGAAGAGGCTCTGGGGTTGAGTCTGCCTTGATCAGCCTGATCTTCAGGGATGGACAGAGGGAGTGTAACTCTGCTGGGTCATGCTCTCAGCAGCTTTTAGTAGCCTCAATCATGGTATCCTTCTGGATCACCTGAGAGATTTTGGAAAGTGGTAATGGCTTTGCTTCTGCTTCCATTTTAGTTTCTCAGGCAGATCTCAAATGATGTCATTTGGAGACAGCTGCTCCTTGAAATGGGAGGCATTATGTGGTGTCCCTCGGGGCTCCATTCTGTCTCTAATGCTTTTCAGTATCTACATACAACTGCTGGGGTAGGTCTTCAGGAGATTTGGAGCTGAGTGCTATCAGTATGGGTATAATATTGGATGGGGATAATATTGATATTGAATCCAGACAAGACGGAGCTGCTCATTGTGAAGCCAAAATTCCAGAGATTTGTTTGATATGAATGGGCTTATGCTCTCTGCAAAACAGCAGGTCCACAGTTTGGGAGTATCTCTGGATCCAACTCTGTCTCTGGTTTCCCCACCAGAGCCAAGAGCAGTTTGATCAGCTTCAACTCATCTGCCAACTGCACCCCTTCCTGGAAGATACGGGTAGTCCTTGACTCATGATGGCAATTGGGACTGGAATTTCCATCTCCAAGTGATGCAGTTGTAGAGTGCAACTGCATCGCTTAATGACAGCAATCCCTGCAGTCCCAGTTGCTGCTGTTAGGTGAAGCAACTTCCTGCTGGCTTCCCACAACCAAAGTAAATGGGGAAGGCGGCAGGAAGTTTGTAAGTTGCAGGCCAGCAGGCATGTAAGTGGCTGCTGCTGGGTGGGAGAGGGAGCGAGGGGGGGTGGGAGTGTGGGGGAGGGTCGAGGAGGGTGTGCAAGAGGTGCCACATGGGTCAGGGAGGGTGCACGGGAGG